ATATATATACATATATATATATATATAAATTATATTATATTATACATATATATATATATATAAAATATTTTAAAAAGTCGTGAACAGCATCTATTAAACCAGATTCAACAATTTTGTGAATGTTCAATATACCTTAGCAATTTTCTGTCGACTCTTCAATTCACTATTAACTGCAGACCAAACGTTATTCGATTGTTTATTGCCAAAAGCGTTTTTAAAGCCACTATTAAACTGAATTCTCGGGAGTGGTGTTGACGAATCATCTAAATTTATGAAATCGTTGATAATGTGCGTTTACTGAACAATTATTCATTTATAAACGTATTATATTCTTAATCAAATCAAAATTTCAAAATTGAACAGTTAAAGGGATAAAAGCTGTATAAAGCAGTTAAAACCTCAATTTCCAAGTGCTGTATTAAAATAACCTTAAAAAACTTTAAAAAATCAGAAAAAGCAGTTCAATAGTTAAGTTACATTATCAACAAAAAAATCAGCTAATCATTCATATTAAAGTATAGGCAACTCGATTTCAAGAAGCAACTGATCATTGATGAAAATAACTTTTACATAAATTTTTCATCTCGATGGAAGAATTACCTGAACTTTCCTTGTGAATACGAATATTTACAGTTGGGTTCCAAGTATATGCTTGCACAGCTGATGAATTATTTGATAAGGTCCCACGTTCTCGAGAATGATAACGTCCGCTACTCAGCCTTAAAATAATTTGTCAATCGTTGATTCAAATTCGAATTTTTTTTTGATACAGTGAGAAAATTTCTAATTTTAAAGAGAAAAGAAAAAAATGGCTAAATGGATAAAAAAAGTGCCCCCTTCCCCGATAATTGTTGTTTAACCATAAAGAGAGTGTGACAACGAAACATATTCATCGATAATAACGAATATGTTAGGAGAGCAATTATGTGCCATGCATGCATCGTCTTCCTTTTTATTGCGTATGCAACCTCCGAAATCGTTCATTTCATATTTTAGTAAGATCTGTCGAGAAGAATGGAATATGAACATAAGAATATAAAACCTTCCGCAATTGTTTATTCATATAAGTGAAAAATCCACTTTGTATAAAAATTCATATCAAAAAAACAGAATATAAATAAAATAAAATAAAAGCCTATAAAAAAGTAATAAATAAAAAAATAATATCTAATAAGTAAAACAAATACAGCTGAGGTTGACTGTGCCATCTTTTATTTTATTTGTCGACAATATCCTAAATTTTCTTTTAATGCAAGAAAAACAAAAAACGGCATAATCAAGTGAGGCTTTATAATCTCGTGCGACACTGCGCAATGTTAATGCCTTAAAAACTTGAAATCTGCGCAAAACAAATATGCATTACCCACGTTTTACAATATTCATAAAAGACACGCAAGTCAACAGTGAATAAATTAAAGCATTAAGAAAAAAAATCTTTCGTGACGACTAATCCTAAAATGAGTTTCACTCGTTTAAGATATAAAATTTTTGCAATTCCCTGCTCTTGCTTTCGCATTTCATTTCCATTTTCCAGCTAAACTAAATTTTTATCAATATAATTCAATAACTTAAAAAAAATTCTCAATTAGTGATAACAATGGGATTTATTTGAATAATTATTTAAATTAAATTAGTTAATGCATTAAATCCAGCGTCTCCCATTTGAACGAAAAAAATATGATCTATTATGAAAATTTATAACGAAACAACATGATCATTATGAAAAAATGGCTGAAGGCTAATCCCAACTAATCCTCCAAAAATCTTGCAATTTATCAATCAATACTGATCTCGATAAGAACAATTCAAACCAAAACAATATCCAGAATATGTTAAAAGAAATTCCAAGTCGAAATTGCATTCCAGTTTATTTGGACTAAGTTTCATCTGTTTTATTAAGTAATATTTAATGAGCACCGTTACGAATTGCTTAAATTTGCCACAGCTTTATCAGCCTCCCATTATCCTTATTATTATCTGTTGTTTCCTTTAATAATCTGCTCAAATAAAAAAAATAACGTTAGTTTTTTCCATTGGGAATGAGAGAAATATTATCTTTCGACATTTCAGGCTGTATCTAATCTAATTAGATTTTAAACTGGACAATATACAAAAGCTCAAATATGATGGAATTTTAAATGGACAACTTATCGTCGGATCACTCTACGTACTTTATCATCCAAAAAATATTGGTGAGAGAAATCAACGGCTATAACAAAAAAAAATTAAAACATCTCATAGTTTCAACAGATTCTGCAACAAAAAAATCAAATACTTTGACAGATTGTACTATTTTTGCACTATTCTCTTGAAAAAACTGATAATTCCTGGTTTATAAAATAAAAAAACAGAAACATAAATTCACTAATACCAAAATAAATTTTGACTGACAAGAAGGAAAAAGCAGAAATTACCAGATTGTAAACGGTTTGAGAATAATTTCCAGAATGACCCTGGAAACATAGGCGTGGTCTTTTGGTTGAATATTTAACAATGGCCAGGCTCTCTTTGTAAATACTTCTCTTCAATAGATTCAAAACACAGAATTATTTCTTCGTTTTTCGCTATGGATGAATTTGGAAAACAATTTATAAATTTATTTTAATTTATTTAATTTATAAGAATCTTAATTTTAGGAAATTCATCAAAACTGGTTCAAATAAAAAGAATAGTGTAAAAACTCAAAAACTCTACAAAGCAAAAAACTAAGTGAGTATAATATTAAAAAGTTAATATAAAAGATTAGAAAAATTAAAAAAAGAATAAAGAAAAATATTATATTTGAAATATTAAAGAATAATCATTCATCAACTGTTAATTCATAATAAATATACAACGCTTGTTAATTAATCACCTCTTAGTCGCTCTATACCGACAAATTTCAAGCAGACTTCGGGTTTAATGGAACAACCAAACCAGAAATCGTGAATGAATTTAGAAGTCACCATAAGGGAAAAACGAAATAGACATATAAATTTCATCTGATCTTTCTTTCTTTACAAACTGTTTTGGAATATTCGATCGTTTGCTTAAAACATTAAAGCTTCGACCATAATATTTGTAAATGAACATAGGAGCATAGCATCTAGAAAATCCTAAATAATCAGCCATGTAGGTCCAATTCATCATTTCAGTTTAATCAGAAAAAAATCATCCGACCACAACGATTAAAGGGATTAATTTTTTCATGTCACAGTAGCTGCTAAGCATAATAATTAAATCGGCAAAGAATAGAGATGGCTAAACCTCGTTGAGATAAAGGCGCTTCACTTTTAAGTGCCAGTCTTTCAAACGACACTAACCTTAAAGAAAAGCCAATCAGAACTATAAAATACCCAGCATTTTAAGACTTATCACATAGCTATTTAAGCATTTCATAAATTCATTACCACAAGAACAGTTATTTATGAAAAGGAGCACAGGTGGGTTCCCAGTATTATTCAGATCTTATTTTTAATGAAATATTTATCGCCGCTGGGACTGAACCCATGATGTTTAAAAAAGATAATTGATTTGGATAAATGTTACAAGGTTACACTGAAGAATTAAAAGCTATCCTGTTTTAGTTAAATTACGTTAATAAATCAAGTTCATAAATCATAAGTTTTAATTAGTTTTTGACTATTTGATAAGTAGCGTTTGAGATGAACAATTTAAGCAGACGATTCCCAATAAATCAACAGATATTTTTTTTGAAACTCTGTTCGAAAGGAAATTACGAGTAAGTAATCAGTCGATTTTATTCGATGTGACGGCTGGAACCAAATAAACATAAACAAAGAATTCCTACTGATTTTGCGCATAAATTATCTATATACGTTGGACTAAAATGATTAACTAGAAAGAACCATGCAAAGTTGCCATAGAGAGATTTTCCAATAAGATAAAGAGCAATAAGTGAATATCTATAAATGTAAAAGCTTAAAAATAATATATTTTGCTAAATATCACTTAATTCTAAAAATTCTAAAAAAAGATTTACTGAAAAATTCAGAAATTCTATGCCACTCGGCATTAATCTCATCACAAAATATATAAAATTTTAAAATAGTACTACAGTTACAGTCTTTTATAATCCTCTGCTGAATAATAATAATAAAATTTCATTAAAAAGAGGAAACAAAAGAAGAAATTACATTCGCAGAGGTAAGTTCTATCGGCCGATTCGAATTTAAATTTAAAATTAAGAAATTATTAATGACACAAAACTGCACAAAAATGACGAGAATTCAATCCAATATCTATCAAACTGCAAAATAAGATTATGCTCATCAGTGCCAAATCGAAAAAGCTAATCATGGTACAATTATCAATAACATTATGAATGATGAAGATCCTACTGACCTCCGAGTTAATTACTATTGATTTAGCATTAATTTAGAAACGAACACGCATGAAGAATCGAAATAGATGATAAATAAAATGACCGATCGTCGAAAAATAGCAATCAACGCACGCCTAAATCAGATGATTGAAAGAAAAATGGAACTTATATACTTATCACAATGAAATGCAAACGTTAATACAGAGAATTCACACAATGAACTTGAAACATTTCAAATTTTATCTAAGATATTCCATAATAAAAGAATGAGAAACGTTCGACCTCAATCAAATCCATAATTGGTTTGAAAATAACAGGTCTTCGACGAACCGTTCCCATTTCCATCTATTAATGACATTCACATAATTACATTCGCAGAGGTAAGTTCTATCGGCCGATTCGAATTTAAATTTAAAATTAAGAAACTACCAAAAGGGAAGAAATGCAAATTTTTTAATAAAGAACAAGTATTTAGCTTTAGAGCTGAATAAAATATAACCATGGCTATGATAAGAAAGAATAAAAAATGCCCTGATAACTACTATCTACTCTATTCTAATTGTGATGAGTCATAAAGAATTATAAAATATTGTAAAAATTTTAGCTCTCCTTGTAGAGTAGGATTGTGAACTTAGAAAGTCCTCATGGCTGATTTGATGAATCTAAAAATGTTCAATCAGACAACTAATTTTAAAAAAACATACTTCTTGGTGAATTCGTGTTCGACAACAGCTGCAGTATCGTTCTTCGAATCAACGTTGATATTAAAATTCATTGCTGATTCTTTATTGGATTTTCTATAGGGTGGCGATGGCTTCATATTATATATTTCGTTTGCAGGTGCATTTATTATTGCTGTTGCTGTTGTGATATCGTTTAAATATTGTTTGCGACGAACGACCGGAGTAATTAACCCTTCATTTATTGTCTTCAATGAAAACAAATAAATTTCTGTTGAGAATATAAAGTGAAAACTTTCTAGTGCAAAAATGGCAATGCTTAATATTTATGAGATTATTTTTCTAAAAAATCCACTGATTTCTTTGATATTTTTCATAGTTGAGAATAGAGTAGAAAAAAAACGAAAGAATCTATCAAATTATTTTTTATTTAAGTAATGTTATAAATAAATTTCACCTGTAATTCTCCTGTACCAGGGTTTCGACCAAGTTTTGATGTAAGTGCTTTCGCAGTCATCGCTATACCACTATTAGCGGTATTTCCATTAAGATTGTGAGTTAAATCTGCGAGATTTGGTACGGACAATCGATGTTGATCACTTCTAGTAAAACTTGGATTGTTAGGCCTAAAATAAATGCTTTTCTAAATTTATTCACAAAAACAAAAGTTAAATGCAATATTTTCAAAATTTTCATATAACATTAAAAGATTTCAATTCATGTTCCTCAAACTTAACAATGAATGACCTCTAACTTTTTTCCTTCTTCTTCTAACAGCACTCATCATTTCTCGTTTGGTTGGCTCTATTTGCTATTAAAGAATAAAATATTTTCGCTAAAGGGCTAGAAATACAGGTGGAGCCCCTTAGTCCAGATTTCCCTTATCAACATTATATGCCTTTATTCGAATCCATAATCTCATTCATTTTTTTGAATTTCTGTTCGCCCCAATTTCCTAAAAAACGTTATCGATTTTTAAATTTAGATTGTAAAAAATAAAGCAAAATGAAAAACTAACCGGAATACGGGCGAAAAATTTTTGCCTTTTTCATTGGGAACTGCTGTGGCTTTTGATGGTGATTGTTGCTCACAACACTTATTTGATAATTTAAAATCAATCTGCTGTTTTGTACTAAAAGGAAATCTTAAATAAGCATATTTTTCAAAAAATTTTTGTATATAATGGCAATAAGAAAAAATTACGGAAGCATAAATGCCGCTAACAATTATTTTATTTTTTTACCGTCACAGTTGTGCAAATCTAATCAGTGACAATAAAAAAAAGTTACAAGCTCATCTAATTTGAACTAGACGATTTACATAATATATGGCTTATTAACGCAACCAGCGGAAGTCTAAGAATATAGAAGGACCACGAAATCAAATAAAACTTTAAGACCAGCTACGAGCAAGTTTAATTGCTCATTAAAGCCAAAACCCACAAAAATTAAAAAAAGAAAGAAAAAATTATATAGTTCACAATTCCTGTTTTATTTATTCCTTACTCCTTTCTTATTAAAAAAAAAGCCACTTTTTTATTTAAAAAAAAACATATTTCCAGTATACTTAATCATTTGCGTATATTATACAATTTTTTTTAAAAATCGGCTTCCTAAACGGATTCTTTCTCCATTCTAGCATTCATTACTTCTTGGTCCCACTGACTACTAAGGTTAGGACCATTTTAGTCACTAGGAGAAGTACACATGGGTCCTTAATATTACTTGAATCTAAAGAAGTAAGTTGATTTCCTTTTCCCTTTTACATATTCCCTTATTTTTTCCTTCCGCACTTAGGCACCAAACATTGTTCCTTTTCCCAATTATTTCATTTTATTATAGGCAATTAACAGAGATTACCTTTTAAAAAATGCATACATTTTGCATGAAAAATAATATAAAAAGATATAAATAAAAAGGCGAAATATAATTATAACAATGGAAAATAGTCGTGCCGATTATATAAGGCCGAAGGTCAAATACATTAAAAAAGAACTAAAATACTTGGAAAAAAAACAGGAAACTAAAATGAAGATATGAGATAGGTTTATGCTATATCGGCTTATGGAAATTACGCCTTTTAATGACCCGATTCATGATCATCAAACAATGCTGAAGTATTTGAAGCTATTTATATCTTACATTTTCACACATTATGATCCATAGAATTTACTATATCTTTTCGCCAAATACAGGGTAGGTCGTAAAGATTAAACAGACTTCATGTAATATGGTAAATATACTACTGGTAGACTAAATTGATTCAGCTAGATCGCATACTACAAACAGCATAAAGCGATTAATTTAATAGAAAAAATGGAATATATCTTGGTTTATACGAATAGAAAAAATTCACTGGACTGAAAGAGATTTGTATTGTAAATATAGTTAAACTATTGACCCCCAAGAGTGTCCAGATTATCCTTCGGAATTATTTATGCCACTCTTACGGGATTCCAGAATAAGACAAAGGAGATGAATCTCCACGAATTAAAATAACCAGCTAAGCCAACCAGACTGGTAGAATAACCCTTCAAATCACTTTCTTATTTTAAAAAAACACATTTCCAGTATTATTGATCATTTGCGAGTATTACTGACCAAATGTAGATCGCTGCGCCAAGGACAGCAGTAAACCTGCTATTAGAAATGAAATTTCGAATGCTACTGCAAATCCATCTATGCTTCTATCTGCAAACAACTCTTGCGAAAACACCTCATCCTAATCGTCTAACCTAGCGAGAAGTGGTAAGTGGCGTAGAAAAAAAATCGCACTGGACTTGAATGCGTTTCTGAGCCAAAGATTAAGTGAAAATGATGAAAATGGAGATCGGATTGGATATTATTTTATAAAACTATTTATAAAAAATAAGAGAAGGTTTCAATAATCAATAAACTGTAACTTAATACAACTCAAATAAGAGAATAACATATCAAAAATGAAACAATAAACGGTAGCTTCACCTCTTTCGTTTTAGTTCTTCGAGACAATTTTTTAAAGCTTTTTCATCCAAACACACTTGCGGCGGTATTAAAGCTTTACGCATTAAAGTACCACCGTTTTGATCAGAATTATTTGCGATTCGGCGAACGCAACCAGCGGTAAGATCACTTCGTTCACGCCGTAAAGCTAATGGTTTTGGTTTCAACGCCGGTTTAGTCAATCCAGCTAAAAATATTGTTAAGTAATATTTTTAAATATTAATATTTTTATTTCATATGCAAAATTATTAGAAGAAAATAAGACGGTTTGAAAAGATTTTTTACTATAAAATAGTTTGAAAAGGCAAATTTTTTACTACGAAAATTAGTATTATTGAATGAAAATTAAAATTAATTTAGAGCCAAGAAATGCAAAATGCAAAATATCGTGAAGCCAACCGATAAAGCTGCATTAAGGAATTAGAAACAAATCATTAAATCATGGCTGCATATAGGAGGAATGACGAAATCAGCAGCAAATTTCCACTGGATAGTGTGGTTAAGAGACCAATGTTAACGAATGAGTTTTATCCAAAGATCAAGGAAAGAGATTTTTAAGCAAAATAGTACATTAAAAACTTTATATCTGGAAGCACCTAACAACTAAATTTTGCCTCTTCAGTGGCTAATGAATAAATGGGCCAAAACAAAAGAATAACGAAAGAAAGACCATTAAGATTCAAACTGAGCCCATTCAACTTGGAAACATTTTGTTGTATGCTTTCAGCGATAGTCGATTTCAGTGGTTTGAATGTTCTTAGAAAAGGAGCCGAATGAGATTCCTTGAATTTCGATGAAGATAATCCGTCCGAGCGATCGAAATAGATCGAATTTTTCGACTGGTTTTCGAAGCTCTTTGAGATCGTAAAAGCAGACTGACTACTGGAAAAAATAAGTTTCATAGAACCAGTTATCTATAACAATAAGATGGACCTAAAGCATACTTTAGGATGATTTAGATTGGTAAATAAACGAGAAGCAGAAAAATTGAAAATTATCGCGAGAAAGTTAAAATGCCTTAGGTCATATTGGTAAGTATACGAGTATGAATAAGCCGTGGGAAATGAAGATAAATGAATAGCCATTCGCTAACATTAGATAAGTAGATAATCATTGAATAAAAGCATAAAAGACTTGCTAAAGAACGTATTATCGAAAAATATCGAAATTTTAAAAGCAATATGGCTCTCATTTATTTAAACTAAATATTTATTGGAAGAAATAGCGACGAGCATTTGTTGGAAGAGAAGAGCATTTGATTGGTACATGCTAGTAAGGTGGCGTACGACCCAATATTTATTGCTTAGACTAGCGAATGCAGCGAGCCTAACTGGTGAATCGAAATATGCTTTAAAAACATTCTCACTCGTTGAACGGCAATATGTGACCATCACATTGCAGAAAAAATTGGATTTAGTTCTAAATTGTATGTTTCCCATGATTTACGCTTTACACTGTTTCTCAAATCATCTTATTAAATACGATTAATAAATTAGGGTACGACAAGAGATTTATTTAAGTGAGTATTCGATAATTTAAGTGATCGTTGCCAGGTGGTTCATATTCATAATTGACCATGTGACCTCGCCGCAATTAGGCTGCCTCAAGACAGTTGTAATCCATTGTTATTCATATGTTGACGACTTATATGTTATAGAATTAAAATTAATTCTAATTTGTACATTTATGACAATCTGACAAATTGTAAGATATATTCATATGGTAGGTGAGTCGGAATTCATTTCCATTATAGGATGACTTCAATAATATAGTAATAATGATAACGAAGTGCCTTTTAAGATGAGATTTCACTTTCCATCAATAAGTGCTCCAAAAATCCAATTTCACCGAAAACGTTCTTTGATGGTTTGAAATTAGTACATTAGAGCTTATAGATAAAATTTAGCTTAGTATAAAAACCTTTTTAAAATCTTTTCTTAAGCTTCATCGATCTCATCAAGGACTACAAAGAAATTTTTAATTTTTAAAAATCATGGACAAACATAAATCAGATCCATGATACATATGTTGAATGAATATTAGTTTATTTCACGTTTAGCAAACATCGCAGTTCCGTGAAATCAAAAAACAGTTGAAAACGGCAATGAAATAAAAATGATAAAATGATCAATTAAATTAGATTAAACAAAATGAAAATTGCAAATTCATTAATTTGGCGATGAAAAATGATAAATATGAGAAAATAATGAACGAAGTTCCAATAAATTTCATTTTTATAGCAAAAGCATTTTATTATTTCAATGGTCCGTCGGCCACTTATCTAATTGTTTCTCGTCGTCTTCAAATCTTTTATAAGCAATTGAACCGAATTTATTAGAAAATATAGAATAAATCTTTGCATAAACACAATTATTTTATAGAAAATTATTCAAAAATTATTCAAATTTTTCTCCAAACCTAATACTATTTTAAAATCGCAGAGAAGAGAAAAATTTATAACAATCGAAAATACAGGAATAATGGGAAACAAGTGGATTTTATATTTTGGTTTTAAAGAATATTATTATAACTCTGTCGTAAATATGAAAAAATAATTAAATTCATTAAATATGAAAAAATAATAAAACTCCTCGTAGGACAGTACCATTAAAAATTTTAGCCATACAGTCATTTGGCCAGAAAAGCAAGAGGTAATAGGATTTTTCAGTTACAACCTCCCGTTGAGGGAAAGGGGGGGAAATGCACGAATCGAACCAATGATTCTCAACACAATAGTCTGAGTCAGTGTCCATTTGACTAATCCTCCAGATATAAGCTAACTAAATAGACATCAAAAAATTTAAAATTTAAAATTTTAAAAAGAGAAATTTAAATTTATTAATTTACCATAATTTTTCAGAATTTTTTTGCCGAAGAAAATGGAAAAAAAGGAAAAAATGAGCCAGATAATTGACGATATTAAAAAATTGTTGGTGAAAATAAAAGACAATAAGAAGAGAAAGTCCAAATGTGCAAATGTAAATTTAACATTAACATTGTCGACCCATTCATAAGAATTTATAAGGATTTATGAGCGAGAACCAACCTAGTTATCCTTCGATGTTCCAAAGGTCTGAAGACATCACACTGGGCAAGCGTATCAATACGACAAGATCTATCGTTGGTCTTTTTCTGAAAATCTTTTTCAACGTCATCTGATTCCACTTCACCGCAAATAATATGCCTTAGAAAAGATTTTCCAGCCACTGATATGACGCTACTTTCATTGTTTCCGAATTGATGATTTGAGGCATTTGATAATGCTTCTGAAAATTTTTTATTTCAAAGCATTTAACAAAGAGTTAACATAAACATTAATTGCTCTTGATAGAGTCGAACAAAGTAGAATAAATCGCCATCTTTGGATTTTTCAAGAATCGTCAGAAACACAAAAATAATGGATAAAGAAAAAAATGATCAATAGGAATTAACGAGTTAAATTTTTGACAATAGATATATTTGTCAGAAGTTCTATAGTTCATTAGTAATCTACCACTATATAATTATTATACCTACCACTAGTATGAAATAAATTTCAAAGGTATATTTCGCAATACTCGTGATTTTCCTACACCATTTATAAAAATTTTTTCGGGTAAACTTGTTTTTTAAAAATGAAAAAATTATAGTATAAGAATGAAGAATTTTTACAAATTCAATTCTCAGTCAATCCTGGATATGATTACCATCTCCTTTAAACCTAAGAATTTCGGAGAAAACCAGAAAAGAAAGGAATGGAATGGCCTAGTTGGTTCTTGCTCGCATTGCACAGTGATGATGCTGGAGTGAGCCTCTTTCAAAAATACGAGTGCTTCATCTGTATCTTTAATCGTCAACTCTCTGGCAAAATTTGACGAGAAATTTGATGGAGGCAAGTCTAACCATAAAGTAAAATCCCTTTAAAAAAAACTAAAATGCGAAGAATTTGGCGAAAAAAGCATTCAAAAATCTGGAAGAACTTACGTGTATGATTTTCACTATGATCACGTTTGGAGAAAAAAGCTCGTCGATCATAAAAAGACTTCGATGTTGATAAACTTGTTTGTCCAGATTTACCTTTTTCGAAACATCTCGATTTAACGACTGAAATCGAATCGGTTGTGGTAGCTACCGTTTGTGAAGATCGCGAAATACTTCGACGATCCAGTATTCCAGCCTTTTTACAGAGTTCCCTTGAAATTTCTTTTTTTTTTCGCTTCACTAGATCACTTGTCCAAAAGTCTAAAAAATTTTAGCATAACAGCAGCAATATTAATAATATTTCCGAAAAACCATCTTTATTAGTTAAAAAATTAAAATCAATAAATGATAACAATTGAGTAAGTCCTGTGACGGATGAAAAAAACCAAAAATGCGAAGGCCCAACCAATATCTGGAAAAGCAGTGAATCCAACTGTCCAAATCAAGAGCTGGACAAGCAACTATGCTTCTATCTCCTAGTCTATTTTTAGTGAAGGAATCTCCTCCTAGCGACCAGTGAAACAAGCCTAACCAGAAATGGTGAGTGCTATAAGAAGATGAAGAAGAAGAGCTAAATCTTGAATAATACATATAGAATTAAAATGAACGAGAGATTAAGCTTAGCTACTATAATATACATCAACACTTGTCAATCGAATCAGTGTTTGTTCTCATCAAAGATTTACAATGAAGATAAACCATATGTGAATGTTGCTAAGATATGCCAATGTTCTATAGATTATAACCGAGAATTCTTACGTAGAATCTAATTATTTTAATGCTTATAACATGAATTATAACTATTTAATAGAAAATCTTATCATATTTATTATTACTGCATAGAGAAATTTAACTAATAAAGAGATCTAGGCTAAGATTGAGTATTCTCTGGAAAATCTAGCAATATTTTCAAACAGCTGCCATTTATCACAATAATGATGATATAAAAATGAAAAACAAAGCTAGCATGCTGAAACACTGGCAGCCAAGCACAATATTAAATTTTTAACATGCTGAATGAAATGATAATGGTTTATACCTATATTTATGGTGCAGAAATATGCGGAACTACAAAATAATTTAAAAAGTTGGCTTCAAAAAGTGCCTCTCTTATGAATAAAACAAATAACCTAAAAATACAAAAGAAGGAAAGCACATATTGAGAAAGAAAGAAACTGGCAGGCAAGATAATTCTTTTGGCAGTTGCTCAGATTATCGCCTCAAACGTCAAGGTTTGGACTTGCCTCTGATACGAGTAAAGCTCTCTCTCATTAAAATTCATGTGGTGCCGGCGAAAAACATGTATTTTCATCACCAATGAGTCGCTAAGAGCTATTGGATCAATTCTAATCAGAAATGGTGGGCACTAACTGCTTTCTTATTTTTTTACTTATTTTTTTTGCTAAAAAAACATCGATAATTTTATGAAAATATTAGAAAACGAAGAAACTGTCGAGAACGCCGATAAAAATTCAGATATCAAGGCAAAGTAAATGAATGGTTTAGAAGGGAAAAAGATAAGCGTATAAGCCAATACGGGACACACACTGATCTCGACCAAAGAAATCTAGGTGGCGAGGAAGGAGATTATGCACACTGATAGCAACATAAAGACAGGCACGAATGAACGAGTGAATAATGATCGAACTCCTGTATTATATGTAAAATATCGTAGCTATGATATTTGCTCCTTTATTATATACGTACTTTTTTTAAAGAAAAATGAGAATTTAAAAATCTCGAAAAAAAGAAAGTGGTAAAAAAAATGTGTTAAGTGTTGGCAATCAACGTTCAAAAATTCTGAAGGAGACTTTTACAACTGTTATCAACAAATTTTAAAAGTTCTTTACTCTCTAGCAATGTGAGGAATTTAAGATAAACTGAAGAAATTTCGGAAAAGAAGAAAAAGATGCCAAAATGAGATTTTCGCTCATCCTTTATTCTCGAATCAGTTGTGAAATTCCCTCTGAACACTGTAATAATCTTCTGATGGAAATCAACGGAAATCTTTTATTATTCAACGAAAAAATAAATAATTCGATTGTCCTGGCAAATTATTTATTAAAAAAAAATTGGATGAATTTCCAATGAAATACGAATAAAATTTGCAACGAAGTTCTTGCAAAAACAAAAAATCAAATGGGAAAAAAACTTGTGTGAAAGAATCCACAAAAAATTTCCGTTGCTTTTATAGACTTTTATAAAATTAAAGACTTAGACTTTGCACCAAATTAAAAGAAAAAAATTTAGATTCACTCTGTTGGCTGACAGAATTAACTGAAGTTATTGGTATGGCTAGAAATTTTTTGCAAGAATCAACTGGAAAAAGAAATATGGTTGAGTCGCAAGTACCATCTGAGCTTTTTAACTGTAGGCTTACTCCTAATGCAAAAACCTCTGATTAATAAATAATTTACTTTTGTTATCAATAAATGATTGGATGAATAATATGCCATTTAAATAAGAAACAAATAGAAAGGAACTCCAAATATATAATAATTATCAAATTGAAATGAATTTATCTGATAATTTACACTGATAAAATGATTAAACGAAATTAAAATTTTGTTCCTTTTTATCTTAATCTGTCTAAAGAAAAGCAGCATGGATTCGATTCCATTCCTTTTAAAGGCCTATATATCTTTGATTAAAATTAAAGTGAATGGTGTAAAAGCCATCGGCACCTCTATCACCACGGAATTCTCTAGCACAAAAGCCTCAACCTAATCAGAAAAGCAACTTAAACCAGAAATGGAACCAGAAATATGCTGCTACAGCAAGAAATGCTCCGAAGTAATTTGAGGTGTATGAGCAACAAACAAACTAAGAGGCACAAAATGCAAAAATGTTCGAAGATTCAGAATTTATAGAAAAATGTAAATATTTTAAAATATTACAATAAATATAGAAAAACGTCATTTTCATCAAATTCCATCTAACGAATTGTGGCAATTTTACAAGCGAAACTCTTCGCACACTATTCACAGATTTCACAAGATTTCACTTGTTAGATAATTATGAATAACTTAAATAAATAGGAAATTATCGATGCTTTTAGAACATTAAAACCGTAAACGACAAAATTCTTCTTACATCGAACAATATTTAAAGAAAATAATCCAAATCACAACAATGTAATAATAGTAATACAGCTTACCTCCGATAATAAAACTATTAAAATTATTAAAAAATCCTAGTGACCTGTCTGCGTTTTGATTACTGAGTGATTCCCCGGTAAAAATTTCTCACCGTACTAAAATTCAGTAACCAGAAACTGTGAGTATTACCGACCTATTTGCAGCAGATTGAAAATTATATGACTAATGAACTAAACATTTAAGAAAATATTTAAAATATTTGTATGTAAAAAACAAAAGTATGAAATTTATTAAAACAATAAAATTAAAAGCAAAAATGGAAAAGAAACATGTAGAAAATAAAGATTACAAAAATTAAAAATTTAAGAATAAAAGAATTTCAAAAACTTTCCAATACTTCATTAAAATATTTATTTATAACATCATACTTTTATAATATTTATAAAAATAAATATAAAATGAAGCTATAAAACCAAATGTATATATTATACGACATTTCCTTCATATAACTTTTGGATTTGATAACATAGTAGTGATGTCTTGCTTAGATCAAAGTCAAGTATTATATGTTCGATTCCTGTCCTTTAATGAGAGTAAACCGGTTATGAAATTTGGTAATGGCGGGGATCCACCGACATATTCGTCGCCAAGTGACTCTCTCACGAAATGGTACCACCCTATTAGCCAATGCAATTAGCCAAATCAGAAATGGTTAATAATGATGTTAGAAAAAGAAAGGAAAGAAGGAAATATGAACATTTGACTATAAGAAAATTGGTCCCTTACAAATGCAATAATCTAACTGGTAATATACAATAAAAGGACAATAATGATAAATAATATTAAATAATAATAATAGTAAATGATTAATATTCAAAATAAATAAAATATGAATAAGACGAATAAGCCTTAAAGCAGATGGTAGAAATATTATAAACAACTGACAAATACCATAAAAGATCAGCAAAATGAGCAAATACTACTCGTCAATAGGACATAAAACAATGGATTTCAGATGAGCACTTCCCGCCACAACGATCCATTCATAAATTATGAAAGTAATCTGTCAAATTTGACCTCGAATATTTATTTGTAAGCAATTTTATTTATTTATGACTGATTGCTTTAATTAATTAAAAATTTTAAAAATTACATGCAAAAATACGTTCCATTACCAAAGTGGCAAAAATTGCTAAGCGTGCCAGTAAGGAGCGGAGTTAGCCTAATCCGAAATGGTGAGCACAGACTTTTAATAAATAGGAAATAAACGGTGAAGTTACAACGAGTCAAATCCAACTCAGAGACGACAGTAATGATCAAACAGTAGAGCAATCATTTTCATGAACATTCAACAATTACTGATTCAAACAACATGTTTTAGCTTATTTCGGGTTTTGGTGGTTAGTTTACAGTTAGTTCTTTCAGTCACATTAGTTCAAAATGTTCCCACCATTATTGGTTTCGGTCAATCTGTGATACTAAAAAAATTGAATTCATTTGCCAGAAAACTCACTGGTCTCCAGTTGGATCTTAATTTTATTGAAAGCTTTATTTGTGCTAAGCGGTGGGAACTGAACTCACTTAAGGCTGACCTAACCGAAGCAACATATCACTTGACCATCTTGTCCTTAATTTTGTTAAATTGCAAAATGGCAAATTGACGAAAAATGCAATACACTTATTCAACCCTCCTTATGGCAATATTAAATATTTCACTGCTTTCACTTGTAAAGCAAATGGCTTTAGGAATATTAAATAGATTCTATAATCAGTTATCATTAAACTGCCAATACGCTTCATTTTCAGAATTTTCGCAAATGAAAGAAAAACTAGAATTAAACCATGGGCAATTAGTAAGCTGAGGTATTTTCATCAGGCAATCAGCTGGGGAATTAGAAGCACAGGTGGATTCCTGACACCAATCGCATTTTTAAAAACGGAATCCCTCCTGGGAAATGACGGAACTGTGGTGTTTGAAATGGTACATTAACCCATACACTGCTCTACTCTTAATATCCCTTAACATCAAAGCCGTACAATATTAGAGATGAAGCAAAAAAAATGAGCAAGGAGTATTCACGCCAATTTTGCAAAACAAATAAACGCTATTGATTACCTTTATAAAATTAGCATTCTGGTGATTCGCATGAATATGAAATGAAAAATCACTGAAGCACCAACACAAATGAATTAAATGAAGCAAATCAGGCCAACGATCTACCTTAGATAATCGATAAACAACACGATGAGTGTTTAGCCTCGAATATTCTTAAAATTAAGGTTATGAAGGTCGAGAAAGGTTGACAATCGCAAACGATATCACCTAAATGGTTTTACAATCATAAATTTCATCAAACTTAATAGAATGAGATCGATTTGACATTGGCAAATCAAATTGAAATTGGTCCAATGCACCGAAAATATTTCACTGAACGCATGTCATACACTTACAATGCAAAATACTTTTTAACACTAATTATATGTTATAATAAGGATTAATTTTAAAAAATAATTCCCAAAAATCCAGAAAAGTTCGAGAACACTCTATTTAATCACTTTAAAGTACAATGTTTCGGTGCTTCTGTGACCTAATTTGAGAAAATGAAAGTTAACTGGAAAAGATTTATGGAACTTTGAATTAACACACAAAAAAACGAAAGCAACTTCTCCGCCATATTAACCATTTCTGTGACTCATTTCACCTTTGTTGTGCTAATTGAATTTTGTGAATTCCTTTTTTAACAAATGCTATAAATGCGTGTATCAGGCGATGCCGTAGTGATAGATAAGTCATACTCATTAATTGCAAATACACATGTATTAACCGTTTTAAAAAAAAAATGGCCGACCCTTACGATGAGTCGGTCGCACACTTTCTTCATCCATTTCTTCAAAAAACTGAGGGCAAATATTTCATCTCTCTTTCCTGGATAAGGATTTATGGAATAGGACTTCAAGACTTAAAACTTTGGATCGAGATTTCAAAATATGCTTCTCAATCTGATAAGTTATCAAATTCAATCTTTTTTAAATACGTACGACTATTAAAGAAAAACAATCTTTTTTAAATACGTACGACTAAGTTTCTTTTTCGCATTTTTCAAAGCTAAGGCCTATCAGATAATTTTCTGCATGAAGCATAAAAATAGATTAAAATTTCTTTGCCAAAAAATTAGACAGAATAGAATAGACGGCGACTGGAATTTATTATATCATAATGAAAATTTGCAAAAATTATACAAAAATGTGCCACTTTTCATTTTTCGTAATATTATATAAACAGGTTTTAAAATTAGTTTGAAAGGTTAAAATTAATAATTTTCTAACAAAATTTGAGTAATTCAGTAATAATATTAGCGAATAATCTCGTGTGACTTCGTAAATGGAACATTTCTTAAGAAATTTGCACAAACCGTTACGATTAATTAGTGGCAAAACCTATATACCTATATTTGAGAACCATTAATCTAACCTTAGCCTAAGCTTGAAAATAAGTTTTCCCTTTCTCCATTTTGTCTAGGCATCAACAGTTTCAAAGAAAATTCGAACAGTTTCAAATCAACTATCCTCTGCCATTTATCCTACCTATCCTCAACAGTCCTTCCTTTATAGTCAATAATGGTTACTGAATCGTCCATCATTCCTCATTACTCACCATGTAATGAGAAAATCATTATCCATTTCCGATTAAAAAACTTCAGTGCGAGGGGAAATAAATTAAGTACAACAACTTAGAATTAAGTTATGAAAAAATTTCTAGATTTTTAAAAATACATAAAAATATTAAATGCAATCAATACGCTTATAAAGCACCGTTATTCAATAAAAAGTAAAGATATTTGTATAAGATTTGGACGAAACCAGATAGAACAAATGCAACTAAATGATTCAATCGCAAGAATCAATCGGCCAAGAGTATTGTATACAGATTATTTCAAAAGATATACAGAGCCTATTTTTTTTAATTCAAGTGAAAATCGAATTTTTAAGTCACAAAATAAAACGCAAAATAATATAGAATAACAGAAAATCCCGAATCAACACTAATTTGGATTTTAAACACAATCGGGAGTTTAACTATATCTTATAAGTGAATAGAGCTATACATGTGAGCGAACTCATTTGTTTACAATCTTCACGACGTTTCCGGTCAAATTTTTGACTAATTGTAAGGATTTCTTCTTTAAAATGTAGGTTATTTTCGTAACTAAGAGTAGGAATTAAATTAAGCGGGAAGGTGGAAAAACCTTAGTAAAAAAAATGTGTGTGAACTCTCGACTGAAAAAAGATTGAAAATTTAGGTAGTTGATGGTATAAGACATACCTTGACCCATCAAAGCAATGCTTTGCAACTGTACACTTGTACGACAACTTGCGATTACAGCTGGCAGAGCTAGGCAAGTTTGAAGTTCTTCACTGAAATATATGATTTTCACACGTACTCAATACAGAACTTCGTCGTTAATAGCAAATTCATCTATAGAAAAATACTCAATGTATTAAATAATTTAGAGGTCATTCATGATAATAAAATGGTAATATATAATGATAATAAAATAATCGGCAAATACAATAGATAATGGGCAAAAACTATAATATGGAATGAAAATTAAAATTTAAAGAAATGTAGATGAAAAGCAAACCCATTAAGACAATAATGTTCAATAAGGAGTGGTAAGGATTTAAAATTATTTGGTGACGATTCGAGTCGAACAGTACGATCCGCTATAGATTCAATCAAATAATGATCTATATCTGCATCGAAATCCGACGGCAAACGAATACTTAGAGCCATTGCATTTGATTTTGATGATGATCGAACAATAAACGCCTTCAAATTGACATAATTTACGGCAAATAAGAGAGAGAAAAGATTCTTTGGTAATTATTTCAAAACATATAATGAAACAAACCACAACTAAAAAAAAAATGAATATGAAGGTGAATGTTCTTTAATAATTTAAGACATCAACCGAGACAATTATCATTTTGATATGTTTCTCAAGCAAAAAAACGATTTTTATGAAAACACGCAATTCGAAAAACATAAATGGACTCTTCAAACTTTTGAAGATGAATAAGAAATTTTATGTTCTGTGGCCAGTTAATCGGTAATTTCTGCTCATCCTAAATTATGTATTTTGCCTAACGAAATCTCCTTTTAAATTAATGAATAAATATCACAAGGCTCAAGGCCTAAGGCTTCAACAGTACGAATAAAAAACTCATTATAGTTTTTTGACACCATAGTCTATGTATTCTAAGTCTAAATAGCATGGTTAATAGTTAATGTCATGCCATCGATTCTTGGATTTATTTTTGATCGAAGCAAACCTAATATTAAAATCGCAATCTGCATGTTGTTGGAGACCTAAGTTTCTCTGCCTACGTGACTTCCTGGCGAAAAGTTGCCATCCTAATGGCTAATGGAGTTAATCAAATTAGAACTCTTAACAGCAAACGAATAATGAGTTAAAAATCTTACAATCTTACAATCTTTTTCTACCATGAGTGCTAAGACTTCAATACATAAGAAACTGATACCGCATATTTCGTATTCTTTCTAGAAGAATACCATAGTGATATCGCTAAATCCAAACAAAATATTTTACCATAAATTCTACCTAATCCCAAATTCTCTCCAACATAGCGGTGGCACACGTAAAACGGCACGATGCAGCGGATGAAATGTGACTTTTTAAACTATGGATAAATGAGAACAAAAATTTCGAACCCCTTGTTCCATTGGTCTAAGAAGGTGAACTGCAGCGGACCGACCAATGTAAGGCAGATACCATATGGGATGAGAACGAACAATCTGTTCCAAAAGCGACACCTTACGTTGTTCCAAATGTTCCTTTTCATTTCGATCAATTTTTTTACTTGATATCTTCAAAGAAACCAAAATGATCCGAAATTATTCAACATGATTTTGACAAAAATGACAGATCGGTTTAATACAAATTTGTAGAAATCACATTAATTATTCACCAAAATCGTTAAGAAATTTTTGCACTTTTTGAATAAGTAAAAAGAAATTCTATATCACAATAACAATTCATTTACGAATTTTCGAAAAGCTTATCCAATTTATTAATTATTATTGAAAAAAATATGGAATCACCTGTCCAATTTTATTATTCATACTATCATCTTTTGTCGATAAAACTTGTTTATCACTACGGACCACTCCAACTCGACTACGGATGAATAAATCAAATGGAGATGGAGGCCGCGGATGCTAAATCGACTTAATTAAAAAAAATAAAACATTCCAAGCCACCAATTATTTTTATTAATTTACCTACAAATTAAAAGGGAATTTTGCGGAAATTTTTATGAAAAAAGCAAAAAATATTCTTTGACGATCTGTAAAACTATGAAATATTCGCAATTCTCAATTATTTCATGAAAAAACGATGAAATCTCTAAAATCTTAAGAAATTTGTAAGGTTTTATTTTAGTCTTATTTTACGATTAAAAAATATTACAAACTAAAAATCACAAACACCGATCCTCATAATTTTTTTCTAGAAGGATACTTTCTGACGCGTCCATTACAAATAACAGTCGATTTAATTATTATTAAATGGTAAAGAAATCCAAAGATATGATTAATTTCAAAAATAAAAGCAATGGAAGGTGAGTGCATATAGTGTTTGCAAAACAGATTATTCTCGATGATCAATACGACGAAAATACGATGGAACATTTAATCTATGAGCAATTAAGCATGAACTATATTTTATGAAAGCTTTTTTTCTCGAATATTGTTCGGATGAATTCGCTAAAAAATTGACAAATAAAATAAATTAAAATATAAAAGTTTTACAGAATCGTTTGCAGTTGATGCTAAAATTTCAACGATTGGGCTACTCGTATATTCGATAGGCACACATTTTTCCATGATCGCTGCAAAAAAAATCAATATCGAAAACGATTTTTTGTAGAAAAAATTATTATTGAGTTAGTTTAAATCGAAAAAAACTAAAAAATGAAAAATGGATACTCCGATATTGATAAATTCTAAATTTTTTATTATGAAAAAATCTAAAAAATTTTCGCAAACCAAAATGATTAGCTCAGGAAAGAAGTGAATTACTGATAACGAATATAAGCGATGATAATAATAACTTGAACAATAGCACGGTACGCATTCGAATTCTGCAATAAATTCAAATGCAACTTACAAAAATTGACATTTTTTTCACAGTTATAAATAGTTAATAGCTTATGGACTAATAAAAATCATTGGAATATTATTCTCCGCCGGTTGATTCTTTTTCGCTCAGATTTATCTTGAGATTTAAATCTTGCAATTCGTACAAACAATAAGATTTTTAATATTTGCACTGAGGAGGAGTTCCTGAGACTTTTTCAAGAAGTCTTCGCTATCAATAACATTCTCGCACGATTGCTATTATTATTTGTTTTTTGCACTCTTATCTAAGGTGATAGCCCGGCCTATGCTTAGTTTAAGCTTTAGCAAATTATGTGAATAAAGGCTTTATTTAGAAAAACTTCAAGAATAAACAAATATTTTAAAATTTCTCAGTTTTAATTTCTAATACGGCGAATATAAATAAACCATATAAACAAAAGCTCTTGGAGGTTTTCAATAAATTTTTAGAGTGTAAAGCGGTCCACAGAGCAAAATGTTTCAGAACCAATGCTTTAAACGGTGCTTTTGAAAATAGCAGAAAAATGTTTTCGTGATTCGATTAACTCGATGGCATATAAAACATTCCATTTGCGATAATGAATACAAAATAATATCTATCAGAAAGACAATAAAAATGTCATAAATATCGGAATTTTATAAACGAACGCAAATTGAATTTCAAAAAAGAAAAGTTGCGCGTAGACCCCAAGCTAATTTCTCAAAAAAACTTCATCTTCATTCAACAAAACAACCAGGAACAACCAGAAAGATCGAATCATTTATTCTGTCTATAGAGAGCGAATCAACCAAAAATTTGGCTAATGTGCCACCAAAAAACAATTTAAGGCATAAGGAATATAAAAAAATAATAGAAAAAACTGAACTTTTTACACGCTTCGAAATAAATCGATGTGCGAGGAAATGAAAGATGGATAATTGTTTCAAAGAACTCAAAAATAGTTATTTTATCCAGAAGAAAGCCAAATTTATCTGAAAATTTCAATAATATATACTCCACATCCTTTACCGTATCGGATATAAGACAAGTCGTGAACACTATCGCTAATCATATGAGCCAGTGGCTCCAATCAGTTGGCTTAAGCAGTACATTGCATGAACTACTTATTATTTCTAGATGGTACTGCTGAATATCGTATGAAACTAGCTAAGATAACAGCTGACGATAGATTTGTAGATATAAGACAATATTCGGATTTCTGTTAATGATAAAATTTACTCCAATTAAGAGAACAGCGAACGAACCTCTATGCCTGAACTGCCTCGCATAAAAACTGATATTCCAAAGCCGTACCGTCTTCGTCCCTCCTTCTCTCACCACCCCACCCCTCCTCCTCAAAACGATAGAAAAAAAGAATCGCATGAATAAGGATACTTATCAGTAACAATGGATGAGCAATTTCTCGCTTCTGTTTTCCTTCATGGATGAGGGAAAAAAAATTTTTTTCAACAAAAATTTTTTGGTAAACAACAAAGCCAACTGTTCGTGATTCATTCAATCATTTAAACGGACTTTTTCATAATGTAAAAGCAATATGAAACAAAAGAAATTTTCTAAAATATTTTATTCTTTAGATAGAAATCTTTAAACAATAAAAGACATTTGTGCGAGTAATAATTTTAGGGAAAGATTTTTACAATACATTTATTTAACGTATTCGAGCAGAAACTTTTTCAGGACAGAAGTCTGCATAAAACTATAAACACAAATTTCGTTTAAAATTTTTTTTTTAAACCATTAAAAAATCTGAAATCTTTTAATGTATTTACCCCCATGGGGCTCTCTTACGAAACTGTCGCACCATAGGAATAAATTAATGGAACGAGTCGAACCACAGATCAATCCTTAGTGCTATTCACTAACTAATTAATTTAAAAAAGGGTAAAACAGTATTAATTAATTAGTGAGTACATAAAAGCAAAAGTAAAAGAATATAAGTATAAAGGCGAAAATATAAAATAATCATAAATAAATAACAAAATCAATAATAATATTATTTGCAATAATTAATAATAATGGTAAGCATGAAACACAATCAATCACAGCAACAAATGAGCATTACTAAAAACGCGTCACCAGTCATTGAAAAGTTATTGAAAGCTATTGAAAAATTAGAGTTTTAGCCATTATCACTTGAAAGATAAGTCGTACATTACAGCAGAAGATGGAAAATAGCAAACACACACCAAGTTTGTTAAACCTATTTATTATTATTATTATTATTTATTATTATTATTGTTATTATTATTATAATATTATAATTAATTATTTATAGATTTTTATTTGCAAAAATAGAATATATTAAGTGCAAAACTTCTTATCAATGACAATGACCACGAATCACTAACCCCGATTTATTACGTTTCTAAAGAACATAAATTTTAGATAAACCTGCTTCTAGAAATGGATCAATGAACCCTAAAAACAATTTTACTGCTAAACAAGTGGAGATTCGCTAAACATTTTGGAATGAAATGCTAGCATTGGATTTTGAGAAATCAAAGGGAATATGGCAGTGATCATAATGCGAGTGGGAAAACAGGCTGAAATATTACAAGACCCGACAACTAACCACTCGTAGTTCCGCAGCGAAGCAATCACCTCAGACAGAAGCAATCATCAATGCCTCTGGCCGAAGCTGAAATGGCTATTAAGAGAAAACCCAAAATGATGACAAAAGAAGAATGCGAATCATGGCAATTACTGCCCGATTTAATGCGCTTAAGCGATTAAAAAATCACAAAAGCATGAATTACCTAAAATTTAATACTAATTGAAGTTTCTTCCCTTTATACGTTTTTACCAAATTTAATTAACGGAGAAAATTGTTGGAAGTAAAAAAATTACTTAATTTAATTTTTATAAAATCTCATGCGTCGTAAAATAAAAATTTTTTCAGCTTTCCAAATATTTTTTCCGACAATTCACAAAAAATTTTTCATTATTTTTATCGCTTATATTTTTGATAATAAATTGACAATAATAAGAATAAAAACATTTTGTCAACAATTTTAAATACGTTTATAGAATAACGTTTATTTATCGATTATACCTTTCAAAATCAAAAATTGTAAAAATTAGTCAAAAAAGATAAATCAGTGAAGGCAAAAGCCGGAAGCCGATGTGGCCGCCAACGAAATTTTTTGCGGCCCTTTGCCAACAAACAATTATCGATGAAAATTGTTAAATAATTTCATCGCAACAGTGAATTAAGCAAAAAAATTGAGAAATATTAACGCTAATTCATTCATTTTGAACTTTGTTGTAATATGCTTGTAATAAATAAATTAATTTCCGCAAAAATTTTTCCGAAAACTTGGCATTCACAAAAGTTTTGCTCGCCACTGTTTTTTATCATATTTTTAACAGTTTCTTCCATAAATATTTCTTCAGAATTACTTAATTCGCGGATAACTCAGAAGAATTGGTTGCTTTCATTTCGGAGTACCAATGCTGAAATGCTACTTTTAGCAGGAGAAAGCCCCCTTTCCGAGTTCGCATGGTACCAACGATCCAGCTGTAATCTCTGTCGCCAAGTGACCCCCTATTTACCTAATTCGAAAAACTAGTAATGAACTTAGCCAAAAATAGTTCATGGAGAAAAAATTACGTTATTTAAACCAATATTTTTCTTAATTTATTCGGAACAAGGAAATTCTTCTGAAGAAATACGAAGGAATCAAAAACTAACGAAGAACCTAAGGGATTAAATATCACATATTGGAGGATATCATTTAATATGTCTGTTAAACTGCGCCGACTTGAAATGGTCTGCGAACTGAACAGTTTTCTTAGTCTCACATTTTTGAATTCGTTTAATATAGTGCGAAGAAAATAGGCAATAAATAAAATTTCTAAGACACCTGAAGACTGGCAAAGAATTATGAACAAATCACCACTGCTTCAAAATCATCTTTTTCTATTTTATTTCCTCACTAACCTTATGGAATCCTTTCGTAAACGAATTTATTTGGGTCAAAATCGAAGTTGAACTAAAGAATTATAAGTATTAACTTCGATTTCTTCGGAGAAATTCTGCTCGAGATGAAAGAAAATGAAGAAAAGTGGAATCTAAGCCTCGCTAAATGTATAATGGAATGACTATTTAGAAAAGACTTCGCGACACTACTCAATCAAAATATTAAGATTATTGGATTTAACCAATCGCAGAAAGAGATATATCATTTATTGAAATCAACTGGTGAATTCGGTTTAACGACCAAAAAATCAAATAACTAACGACCATCACACGAACCAATTTGTACTTTTTTTGGATCACTCTCTCGCGTAGAAATCTTTTGAAAAAAAAATCAAACCGTATTCTCGATAGCAAAACAATT